ACAGCACAAGGACAGTGCAACTGCACTTTGTACATTTTTATCACGGAAGACGCTCAGACCAGGTGACCCCCTGCTGAGCCCTCGCTTCACTGAATTGAGTTTTACAGTAGGTCCCTGCTGCTTTCCGAAAACTGTGACGGCGTCCTTGGCTAAGGTGTCACATCTCATTTGAAAGCTGTTCTGTTCTCTTGGGTGGGAATTTTGCCCTGATCTGGCCGTGCTGTGAATATTTTTCCTGACTGGGGATTCATGAAACATGGCACCATCAAATTGTGTTCCTTGAAGGATAGAGTCCTGCAGTACCTCTAGGGCACACTAAACTATCAAATACTGCAGATCCAAGGAAGAAGCTGATTTTATTGGAATTAATGCTAGATGTTCCTACAGCTTTTGAAATGGTTTAGGACATTCCCGTGTTTTGGCCCTGTGTAGGCATCTGATGACCTCCAATATTTGTGTATTAGGGAGCTGCGTCAGCATGCGTAGGCTGCAAAGGAACCGGTAAAGGTTTATTCCATGCTGAAAGGAAAAGAAAACAGACACAACTTTGAAACCTTTACCTGGTCCTTTGTGTAAAAGTGTCAGTACAAAGATCACAATAATTCAGTGAGGCAAGTAACACTAGTTCCTGTCACAGACTTTGATACCTTGCCCTAAAACAAGGAAGAAACTGGAGCAGAATGAATTTTAAGTGATGTCGTGTTAACCTCAGGCCTTGTTTCTTTGTGCAGATGTACCCACTGGAAATGAAGAATTGGTCCTGTCCTTGAACAAGAAACTGCTGCGCTCTGCAGTGGAGGAAACCCAGCAGCTCAATCCCAGTGTGCATCTGGGCCTGCGTCTTTCTCGGATGCACCACTTGGCCATTGAGAAGGACTACCTGGCCAAGCTGAAGAAGGAGCTGCAGTCCAGTTTCAAAAGGTATAACAGTCCCTTTAAAACCCTCCTGGCCCATACACCAGGTGGGGCCCTGCTGTGCCTTTACGCAAGGTACTTCACTCAGATTGCTTCAGTACAGTAGAATTTTAAGTCTTGTTCTATAAAAGTATCATCTTAATTTATGGTATAATGATGCTCTGCAAATTGCGTACAAAAGTGCTGCTCTGGCTGCAGTCTGCAGTGTAATCCACTGTTAGGTATGTTAGGCAGTGTATCTGTATCTGGCCTTGTGTAGTTTGCAGTGTCAAGCTGCCAGGTGAGGCTGGTATCTCCTCTCTCTAATGCTC